TTATCGGACATGTGCACTTGTATTATTCAAGATCTGATTTAAGATGCAACAATTTTATAGCCAAAAAATGCATCAAAATCACACATGTTTATCGTTCCGGAAGATTTGTACTTGGTACATACATTGAACACGATGGGACCTCGATGCATTTTATTTTATTTTTTTGGACTGGCCTCAAAATGACCGACTTGACACATACATAGCAGTCAAGTTTAAACTTCACACATACACGAGTTCATCTATTTTTATTCCTGAAATTGTCTTATATTGTTATATTTTTAATTTTCTCCGAGAGATATAAATATTATGCCTGTGAAAGTTTTCAGTACTAGGTTACTAATACTTCGTTGTATTTCATTGTCTCGACAGGCAACGGAAAGAATCTAACAACAACTTCAAACGTGTCAAGACCATCTCCTCATACACGTATCCCGGTATATGTTGGGATAGGTGGTGGCTTAGTTGTAATCGTCGTTTGTATTGTGTTATTCGGCACACTAATATTGAAAAGACGGGGTCTGAAAAAACAAAGACGTCAGCGACAACGCTCATCCGCTCCATCAACACGTCTGGATCCCGTAAATCCGAGAGATAATCTGCCCGATATTAGTCAAAGTGAACGAGTGGCTTATAGCGTATCCGCATACGACAATCCCGTCGAAATTATGGATAATGTTAGTTAGGAGGAAGTTGTCGTGTATTGAGGGACCATTCTTTTATTTACATTTACAAATAAATTACAGCTTTGAAATTTACTTACTACTAACATGTAATTATTCTATAATATTCAAATCTTTGCTCTTTTCCGTTGCACTTCACTTCCACTTGAGATGGTACTGGAAAGACGATTCGGAATTGAATACGTATCCCGGTACTGCAAGGTTTGCCAAAATGGGGACGTAGAAGACAAATACTTCTTCGTTACCTTTGTTCTTGGCGCATTTTTTAACAACAACATTTTAAAATACAACCATAAGCGAAGGGTCATGTATTTTTGAGTTAAATTATTTCTTGTTTAATCATCTCCATGTTTTGTAATGTATTGTTTATTACGTTGGTTGTAGTTTTGTATTTTCCCTGTTCGATTCTACACACTAATTAACATTATCGCTAATCATCATTATCATGCTCCTCCTCCTCCCCTCCTCCTCCTCCTCCTCCTCCTCCTCCTCCTCCTCCTCCTCAATTTAATGATTAATGTGGTGCATCAAGTGATTGTTTAGTAGATTTTGTCACACTGAATGTTCCCTTCCCTTGCCAGCATTGATTTGTTTAGGAAAGCGTGATTTATTTATGGATGTCGACGCAAATATTATTTAGGGTGGGTCATCAGATTGTTGGTTCCTGTAGTGGAGAGGGTTATATAATTTTGGTCGCCGGCTTTTTCAATTCTCTCCCCTGGTAATTTACGTCAAGGCCCTTGCTAGTATTTATGTCAGGGATATTGAGGACACCTTCATGCAATAATTTCCCACCACCAAGACTATATTGGTCTAATCCCTAGCAATATTATTCCATTCCGATGGTGACATTGCCCCCACCCCTAATATAATATAACCCTTATTAAGGCGATATAGATCCACCCATAAAGAAATAATATCCCACTCTAAAGTTGTTGTTCACCACGAAGACGATATTGGTTCACTTTAAAGTAGACATTGGTTCACCACGAAACGATATTGGTTCACCCTAAAGTCGATTTCGGTTCACGAACACAACGCTCTATTATATTACTAGTACCTGCTAAAGTGTAGCCTAGTATACGTGTGCAGGGTACTAAGCATGTATATATAGTCTTGTAGATGCAAATCTTATTGTTTGTAACATTATTCAAACAATAGTTGAAAAACGAATGTTGTGACGACCTCGTTAACGCGTTTGCGACAATCAACTCTCTCATTAGAATATATTAATATCATTAACCAATGTCAGTATATCAACTGTATTTTATATACTCGTGACTGGGGTCAAGAGATTGTCTGGGCGCGTTGGTATTCAATTGTGGTTTTCAACGAATTCAATTTCTCAATTCCTAGAATCCCATTACTCCGTAAAGCTGAGACGACCAGTCGGACAATGAACCAATAAACTCATTCCATTTATTCATTCCTGAAAATATAATGGTTCAATGTTTAACATTGGTTATGACAATTTTTTGATTTCTACTGATGTGTCTAGCCTAACGTGTTAATAACTTGTAACAATGATGAATCCAGGTCCAGTCACGGACTCAGCTGTGATTTATCACTACACGTAGACTGAGCCATTGGGTCAACGAACTGCCTTACAAGTCTTAGCAAATACGGGAGAAATACAACTGCCTTTTTCTTGAGTAATATATCGTCGTATTAATATGTAATAATATCATCGGTCTTGCAATATCTTTAAAAAAACCTAAAATATGTTACAGAATAAATTGACAACACGTGCGGAATATGCAAGCATATTTGGAAAATTCAGCCTAGTTTAGAATTCATGTTACTGACGAGTAGTACGTGTACATTCGTGTTTTGTGGATTTTTAATCTATTCATTTTGATCGACCATTAATCATTCGGGTAAGACATGTAAGCAATCATGACGTAAATGCGTGGTAGTTGATATTGTTCAAACACGCCCTCATTGTCAACCAAGTGTGATGACATGTACAAGTATAATAATAAACTCATTGTTTTTTTCTTAGAAGGCCGCATTTTACGAATTTATGTGTTTTTTTTTAACTTGAACTATTTCCATTAGGAAATTATTAAGTATATATTTGTATTTACACTATGAACATTTGTTTTACGCGAATGAGCATTGGTTGAAAATCACTTTCCTTTTTTCCCCTAAACAATTGTTTTAATACCCAGGTTAGTGACCTGAAACCAGCCAATTCCACATGACACGTCATGACAAAGCAAAAAAAAACGTTGAAATGCAAACTTGCAGTCTTGACTCGGTTGACTAAATGATTATGGAGCGGGGCTGAATAGTCGTAAAACAAAAACAACAGTGTTCCGCTCGTATTTCTTCTTCCTTCATTGCATCACGGTTACTATTGATTGCATCCATGTGATTAAAAACACACTCCTACCTACCCTGAATCCGTGATACATTTTTGACTTACTTTATAGATATGATATGGGTTGTTTTTTCCTCCCAAATTAGCCATTCTTATGAAATAACTACCCTTCATAGTAACTTTGAGGACTATACTTTACAATTTAGTTTCAATAATGTATACTGAAAATATAGACTTCTTCCAAGATACCTTTGCTCTGAAGGACCCCAGCTACTTTGACTAAAAATGTATACATATTTCCAATTGAAGTTCCCTCACCCGGATGTTAACGCTTCTTAAACTAAAACTAACTGGTATAGCACACAGAATATAGCATCCTAGAAATGTACAATACAAATAGCTACGTCGTACTAGTAACAACCCAAACAACATATGTATGCGATATGACTGTCAACTGTTCAGTGTTTGCTGTTTGGAGTAGACTTTCTGCGAAAATCGCAATGCCACCTTATTTTGTTGTCAATGCTAAATGTAGAAAATGTCATAAAAATACTGACCAGTGTCATCCCTGGCTATGAACACTTTTTTTATCCATTAAAATGTTTTAAACTATTATAAAAGAACCATTTATTTGTTATATGAAGAAATTATTTGTTCGCGACATTTAAATCTCAGTGCGTTTAACCACCACGATCACTTTATTATTAAACAACGTTATTTTTAAAAAAGCAGTTACTGATATGATAATTTTCAACGGAAACGACAAAACGCGTGCACACTTTAGGTAAGTTATAATTCTGCTATCTCTCTGTGATTTCGAGAGTTTTGGAGTATCGGTTCGAATTAGATGCACCGGTTTCTGAAACGAACTTTAGATGTGAATACAAAGCACTTCGCAAATAAAGAGATGGTTCTGTGTCAAGCGTACCCATCTTTTGTAGAAGGAGATCGGTTTCTGAGTGGTACGGTATGATACCTGTAGACACGGACAACACGCGCACTGTAAGTTGAGATGACCTGACATCATGCTAGGACGTCAAAGATTTTCTGCGGTGTAAAACCTATATGACCATACATCGTATGACCCATATATCAAGTACACGGTTAGACAATACACTGATGTGTATGTACTGTCAGCACTGTGTGAGTAGCTCGACAGATGACGTCAACTCAGTCACCGATCGCACTCCCGTCGGAAGCAATGGAGCTAAACTAGGTGTAAGCCGGAGGTGATAGAATTGTTTGGGGCATTATTCTTTTTTCTCCCCAAACGTAATTGAAGGTAACATAAACAGCGCTGTTTTGTGTATTGTGATGGCAACGACCAGTTAGTCTTACTGGACTGGTGTGAAGTTACGCCTTCATTGTAGTAGAGAAGTATATATATGAGCGAGAAAGTTAGTGGCGCCGTTATACTAGTATCCGCCTGCCTACTTGTTTACGTCACATCGCAAACGTCTCGAGACAATATTCCAAATGAAGTCCCACGATATCAGAATACACATCCAATCACCGGACCTGACGATTACCGAATATCTGGGGCATTGTAAAAAACAGAAAATTCACGTATATGCGGGAGGACGTCCGATAATGTCGCGGTCTTCCATTGGCAGTGCCAGATACGACCAAAGGAGTGAAAAACTGAAAGTAACTCCCCCGAAACACGTGGTGCTTCCCCCGTTAAAGACCAATGGTAAACACCGAGCGATCGGAAGCAGCAGAACACCACCATTCGGTTCACCATGTTCGTCGCCGTCGTCGTCCCCTCGAGTACGTCGCGTGAGAAAGAAGTCTACTTCTTCACTACCGGGACAGAATGTTACTCCCGACGTTGCTATAGAAACTAAGCCGAAGGTGAGGAGAAAATCAGACGTCATAAGACCAACTCTTCCAACTCCGCAAATGACGCGTCAGAGAAAGGTGTCCTTTGGAGCATTCCCGAGATTGGAATCCGAAGAGGACACGTCGTCATCGTCGCCGTCTGATACTTCCACAGTTCATGTCAGTTTTAAGAAGAAAGAACTGCCACATGCTTCATCATCTTTCAGGCTGGCAATGTGTGGAGACGACGAAGAGGGAACCCGGGATGAATCGCCGAATATCGCAGACCAGATGGACAATTTAACAATCACTTCACTGACAGTACCAGTCGCAATAGAGTCAGAAAACCCCATGGACATGCACTCGGGGCGTGAACAATCCAGACATCCGGAAACAAACCAGAACTCCGGGCAAGAGGAAAGAGATTTGCCTGAACGAAGGCGGCAAGATAAAAAACTCTCGATTCCCCGAGAAAGACAAGATCATTTGCAAACAGAAGAAAGATTATCTAGAAGACGAAAAATATCGACTGGTTCTATGGGGTTATCACTTAGAGACATGAATGAAATAGCGTCTTCCATTACAAAGAGTACCCAGTCATCGTCATGGGTCGGCCTGAGTCCCAGACTACAACGCAAAGGTTTGCCAAGCACGCTTGCAATGCGAAGAGAGAAGCAGGAGCCACGGGAAGAAAGGTCCCTAGAAGATTTGATGAACGATGCAAAGGCTTGCAGATACTTGCGCGGCGAAAATGACTGACAGTGATTCAAT